AGTTAAAGAGCCCAAGCTATTCTTCCAAAGGACTCAGGTTCAATCTGAAACATAGTGGCTCACAACTGTCTACAGCTATAGTACCAATGGATCACGCAAACATACATATAGCAAAATACCATATACATAAAGTAAAGTATATATATGTATATATATTTACAGAGATAAATAGAAAATTAATTTTATTGTGTGTCAGGGGAGGCAGCATACACTCTTTAAAGGAAACACACCACCTAAAATCAGGGTCATAAAACAGATTTGGGTTTTCAAGAAACCTGCTGCCCTAGTGAAGGGGTTAAACTCTCCCACTTTCACAACTGAATTTAGATTCCAGTTCTCTGAGAAGGACAAACAGGTGTCTTTTCCAACAAAGGCCCTTACATTCAGGGTCGAGGGAGAGACTGAACACACAGGGTCTAAGTCAGTCTCACAGTATCTCAAGGACAAACCCAGCAGCCCCCTTCTGAGTCATGTGCAAGCTTGTGCAGATGGTTCCAAAAATGGGAAAACTAAATCTCAGTCAATTAAAAATATACTAATGTAACTGCTGCTTGCTTATCCAATTATGTAATCCACTCTGAAACTCCCCTTAGCTGTGCTTAAAAGAAGCCTGCACATCTCTCTTGGGGTCATCGCCATTTTGTACAGGTGAACAAAGTCATCCCCGCCGCCATGATGGTATAATAAATGCTCTTTGTTCTTGCATACTATTTGACCTGGGGCCTTCCTTCAGCATTTCCTTGGACCCTACTGTAGCAGGAATCTTAAAAGTTTTTATTAATAAAATCAAACCTGAGGCGAGTTATTGGGGTCCATGCTGGTAGATCAGAGAGACAGAACAAGCCACAGCTATCTCACCTCGCCAGATCCTCAGCTGGTCTTGTCTCCTCAGACTAGAGGCCTCTGAGTCCTCATCCGGATTGGGTCTCAGTTGAATTACTGCTCAAAAGCCTGAATGCTTAACCAGCCAAAATCTTAACCAGCCAAATGCTTTTTGTTTCTGGTCCTCACGCCTTATATATCTTTCTGCTTTCTACCACCACTCCCTGGGATTAAAGGCTGGCTTTCTGGGATTAAAGGTGTGTGTCACCATGCTTGGCTATTTCCAATGTGACCTTGAACTCACAGAGATCCAGAGGGATTTCTATCTCTGGAATGCTAGGATTAAAGGTGTGAGTGCCACCATTTTCTAGCCTTTGTATTTAGTGGCTGTCTGTTCTCTGACCCCAGATAAATTTATTAGAGTACACAAGATTTTGGGGAACACAATACCACCACACCCTACATTAGGCATTCTGGGGAATCAGTCAACCCCCATCATCACTGGATTCCCTCAACAAGCCTTGATATGAGGGTTTGTGCCTACTGCATCCTGTTATGCCCTCCTGTTCACTAGGAAGACTGCTCGTTTCTGAAGAAAAACAGAGGAGCAGTGTGGGTGGGTGGGGTTATGGATGGGACAACTGCTGGAACAAATAGAGGAAAGAGAAGCTGCGGTCAGGATGTATTGTATGAGAGAAGAATAAATAAAAACATAAAATAAGCATACTAATTTTCCAAAAATATGGAGGGAAAAAAAAAATAGCAAGTACTCTTTAAAGGAAATCCAACAGCCAAAATCATAAATCAAGCTCAGATTTTCAAGAAACCTGATGCCCAAGGCATGACGGGAATCACCTGCCCTGCAGCCAGAGGTCATAAAAACAGGCAATCTGACTTATCTCTCACTTTCCGGTTTCAAAAAAACAGTTTATCTAAAATAAGCAGGCTCTCTACCTTTCCTACTCTCCACTGAAAAAACTGACTCTCAGAACCTTTATAGTGCACCTGTACCCTCAGATACTAAGCAGTGTTAGAAGTGCGAACTTCTCAGACCAACAAAAGTCTGCTCTCACCATTCTGAGGCCACACTGGGTCTATTCTTTCATTTCCTCCACTGACTTATTTCTTACACTCTTCACAACTGAGCCATCACTCAAGCCCTTTACTTATTTTTAGATTTATTTATTTTGTGTGTATGAATGCTTTGCCTGTATGTATGTCTGTTATATGAAACTTATAGAAAAGTTCATTGGTATAAACTGTTGATTTTATAGCCCCCCCCCCTTTATAAAAACTTAGCCTTTATTTTCTTCTTAAAATTAGCAAGGAATCTGAACACAATTGTCTATAATTTGCTTTTTTGTTCTTCTGAATTTTAAGTTGAATTTCACTAAAAGTTTCTGTTTTTAGAAATCTTTGTTTTTTTATTAAACCAAACGTATACTATTGGATGTTTAGTTCAGAATTTTATCATACATAAAAGCTGTATCCCTTATTTTATAGCATTTACTTGTTCTCATAGGTGAATTATCGTATAAGTTTACTTAATGAAAAGGTTAGATAGTCTAGCAAGATATCATAGTGGACACAGTTTTAAGGCATCAGATTATTAATTACCAGAGACACATGTGAAACATAATCAGACATCTGCTTACCTGAGAGTTTGGTGTCATTCACTAAGTGTTGATCTGCTTGTTTCTTGGCATCAGAAGCTTCACTTTCTGAAGGTGCTTCTGTGTTCCCCAGCTTGGATGTTTTTTCTGGCTTTTCAGTGACCTTGAGGTGCCCCGGGCATATGGCAGAGTTTGAGATCTCCTCCCCATTACATTCAACAGATTCTTCATCCTCCTCAGTTTTAGGCCTTTTAGAAAGTGACTTATTGCCCTGGAGGCTATTAACAAAAGAAAAGTGGTTAGAGGAAAAAGTTCAAACTGGATATGAAATATATACATCAATGTAGATAATACTGTTATGAGCTTATATCAAGAAAAATTAATTTAATATAATTTCTTAAATTAATAAAGTCTGAAGTTGAAATCACAATGTTTTTTGTTTTTGTTTGTTTGTTTGTTTGTTTGTTTTTGTTTTTGTTTTTTTTTTGGTTTTTCAAGACAGGGTTTCTCTGTGTAGCTTTGTGCCTTTCCGAGATCTCACTCTGTAGACCAGGCTGGCCTCAAACTCACAAAGATGCGCCTGCCTCTGCCTCCCGAGTGCTGGGATTAAAAGCTTGCGCCACCACCGCCCAGCCACAATGGTTTTAAATTCACTAACAACTGAATTTTCACTGTAATGTCAAGTAAGGCAGAGACAATGAGCTAAACAAAAGAAATAAGAGGACACACATACTAGCAGTCTGGTGCTGCCAATGGCAATAACAACATTGAGGACATAAGCAAAATGTGCACTTCACAAGGTATACATGTAAACCAAAGCATCTGGCATAGTACAGAGATTGTGAGGGGGTTTATACTTGTGCATGGTATTACTGAAGGGCCATCAACAGCCACTTTAAGCCACTGACTAAGAAAAACGAAATACACTCCTGAACATTAGGACTTGTAAGAAATGAGAAAAGGCACTCTGATTAACACTGGCAATTTGTGTATCACAGATTTTACACACACACACACACACACACACACACTCTATCAAATTGAAAAGCCTGGTGACTTTAACAGCTACAACAGCTCACAGCTTATGCATCTGACTACAGTGCTACTTTGCATGTTTCTCAAGCAGTCAGAATGGAATGTTTCCTTAAGACCTCCAGGGGTATTGACACCCTAATAACTGTTTCTCAAACTCTGAACGTATTCACAGTAAGTTACACATTTTACCGAGACAAAACTTATGTACATAGAAGTACACAAATCATGAGTAAACATTTCCCACACACTAAGCACTATTGTACTTTTTTAAAAAATGATGTTTTTACTTTATGTGTACTGTTATTTTGCTTGCACATATAAATATTGCATTATGTGCATGAAATGACCATAGAAGCCAGAAGAGGATGTCAGATCTGTGGAATGGAAGATACAGATGGTTATTAGCTGCCCCATGAGTGCAAGGAACATGAATCATCTGCAAGAATAGTCAGCGCTCTTAAAATGTTTCTCCCGCCCCACTGTGATATCTTGAAATTCAACTTACTTTCAACATTAAAACACTGCCCATGATATTCTGAATTCAGTTTCAAACAATATTGTGAAAACCCTTGCTGCAAACTACAGCTGAAATATTATCATCCAAGTTTTAGATAAGCTACTAACTAGTTTGGTCATGTATGTAGGTATGCATGTATATATGTACATATCTTTAAAAATGCAGATGTCTTCGAGGTATAATCCCAGCACTGAGAAAGCAGAAGCAAGTAGGTTTCTGAGTTACAGATTAGCCTGATTTTATATATATATATATATATATATATATATACACACACACACATATATACACACACACACACACACACACACACACACACATATACATGTGTTATATAAAATACATAAAATGAGTCATAGGCTAGCCAAGACATCATAGTAAATTTAAAAAAAATAATAAAGGCATTAAAAAAGAAAACATGCACAATTCCATGTTTTGAGGTTTCTCCTGCTCACAACCATTTTAAATAACAAAAGTAATTGCAAGTGGTGGGAAGCAAAGCACAAAATAAATACTAAACTTTGAGCAAAAAACTTAAATTATAGTGTTAATACAGTTAAAACAGAGCTGCCACAGGTCTAGATGTAGGAGATTAAATACATATAAGTATTAAAAAACTATGCTAAGGAAATAATTTAATTATATGAAAAGCATTCACATGCATGGTCACTCAATTGTTAATATAACAGTCTAATTTTGAAAGTGTATAATATTTTTATATTATATATATAATAAATACATATGTAAAATATATACAAAATGTTAAGACGGATAGTCTCTAGATAGTGAATTTAGGAATGATTTGGATTCCTTGGATATTTTTTTTTTCCTGGATTTAGAAAATTTCCACTATTTTTCCACTATCTTAAATACTATTTTTATAAATTAAAAGAATAAGAATTTCAAAATAACAATAAGTAATAGTAAAAAGAAAACCTAAACAAAAAAATTTCAAACTTTAAGAGCTAATATGCAGCCTAAGAATCAGCCATAAGGCATACAGCATATTCAAAGGATTTGTGACAAAGTCCTAGTCCTAGTGGATTAGAGGTAAGGTTCAAAAAGACTACCAAGGAGCAGAAATAATACTTTCTCCTTTGAGTCTTGAAAAAGAATAAAGCCACAGCATAAGCATCCAGATGAGACAAAAAGTATCTCAGCTACTTAACAAATGAAAGAACTCATAAATAAAATTTTTAAAGATGGTAGCATATAAGAGTTGGAAGTCAAGTTATTGAAGTTGTTTAAAATATGGTGAATAATGTAAAGAGCAAATACATGTTTAAAATAAATTAATGGAAGAATTCCAAAAAGTTCTATGTTGTTTTACTAACTATGCATATTGATTTCAGGAGTAGTCTACATATGTGACTACCTGTTCCTAAATTCAAAAGTTAAACATATATTACCTCAAAATTTCAGTATATACTAAATAAACACATGAATAATATAAACAAAAATAAACAATCCTTGAGAAAATCTGGTCCCGTGATTCATTTCAACAAAGTACATACTACAAGAAAGATGTCGTGGGGTCCTTACCTCCTGGGGGCTTTTCTTAATTTTCTCCTCCTCTGTAGCCATATTTTTACTTCAGGGGTAGACTCTGGAGTGGGCTTTGTATGATCAATAGTATATATATCTTTTCCTTGTTTCCAAATTTGGTATCTGTCTGGCTGAAACTTTTTCACAAATATATCCATTGATATCTTCACCATGTCATTCCGGCAAGTGCACTGAAACACAATGAACAGTTGGAATAAAATCAACAATAAAATATTTTGCTAAGTATATAACATATCACGCTCCTGGGTAGAACATGAATGCTTAATTAAAATATAAATAAGGAAAAGTTTTACATCTAAAAGAAAAAAAGAAAAACCTCAGAACAGTGAGAATGTAAAGATACACATTTAGAAATGAGCAAATAAAATTTTTAAAATACTTAGTATATTTATATGAACTGAAAATGAGTCAATAAATATTTGTACATTTATATAAAATGTGTACCAAGAATAAGTTATAGAGAAGTATGAGCATATGTCTGAAGATTGTCCAGCAAAGAAACAGTTATCCTACTATCACAGATACTCATCAAAAATCTGTAGTACAGCATGCAGTGTTTGTATGAAACGATAATTATCACAGATATGCATCAAAATTCTAAAGTAGTAATAATACTATATGGAATGTTAGTGGCAATTTAGGCATGTTTTGAACATTGCCAAAAGGCCTACTTTAATTAAAAGCTTGGTACACAGGGAAAGGATATTGGTAGGTAAGGCCTAATGAATATGTAAGACGAATTGCTAAACGATCTTATTAATAAAAAGCCTGGAGCAGGATATTGGGGATAAACTGAGAGATTAGAGAAGCAGAAAGAAGCCAGCCATGTTGTTACTGCTAGAAATCCTCAGCAAAAGAGAGAGACCTACTTTCTGTATACCTACACCTATATCCTTTCTACGCCTGCCATCTCACTTCCTGTCTCCACCCAGCTACATCATTTCCTCTTTCTGCCCAGCTCTGTCACTTCCTGTCTGTACAGAACTGTAGACCTCTATGGTTAACTACAGCTGGGAAATAAAGGCATGTGCCACCACGCCTGGCTCTGTCCCAGTGTGACCTTGAACTAGGCAGTGGTGGCCCATGCCTTTAATCCCAGCACTCAGGAGACAGAGACAGGTGAATCCCTGTGAGTTTCAGAACAGCCAGGGCTACACAGAGAAACCCTATCTTGAAAAGCCAAAGAAAATAAATAATTTGAAAGTTCAAATAAGAAGTTATTTTGAATCTAGCAGAAGACTATTTCCTATGAATACACAGTGATTAGTAATACCTTATAAAATAAGCTTCTTACAAAAACTACACATAAGCCGGGCGGTGGTGGCGCACGCCTTTAATCCCAGCACTCGGGAGGCAGAGGCAGGCGGATCTTTGTGAGTTCGAGGCCAGCCTGGGCT